AAAGCTAGTAGTTTTTTTAAACTTGAATAATTTGTAGTAGCCGGAAGACTTTGGTTGAATTCTTCCATGAGTTCCATATTATCCTTTAGGCTTCGTAGCAAGGATTAAATTATCAATAGCAGACTCAGCTTTAGGGAACTCCTCTGCACATAATGAGAAAACTAAACTCAGACCATTCATTCACTTAAACAACTAAATCCTAAGGAGAACATACATGTTCAGCTTCAATTCTTAGTTTCTAACAAAAAATTCATTCCAAAATGATAACTGATTGTAGTCTTTACTTCTTACATAACTGCATTTTTTATCCACCTTAGCTTTCAATATCTACAGCACTATGACGGTACAAGTATTCTCAAGATTTGTACAAAATTAAGCTTTGACTACTTGAATTGCCAATTTTGGTATCCCAGACCTTAAAGGACTACACCAACTTCCATTAAATACTTCCACTTTGAGCTAACCAGTGAAGATCATATGCAATTTAGATAATTGGTTAACAAAATAATCAATTAAGGAAATGCTGCCACAGTAGTTACCACAGTAATTTTTTGGAGCCTCTCTGCAGTTTCTGTGATCTAGTAGCAGATAATAACATCATGAAAGTTGGAAAAAGTATGCAGTGTGAAAGGAGGAACATTCAGAAAGGATATGCAAACCTTTTCTATATGCTGGCGTTTGTAGACATTACCGCAAGGATTTCCATGATTAATAATAACCGATCCAATGGTGCTATTAGCAAAAGTTTCAACAGTGTCAAGATTGACCTCCCAGACGTTATGAGGCAGCAGATCATAATAATGAGCCTCAATGTTTCTAAAGCTGGCACAATGTCCATAAATTGGGAAACCTAGTCTTGGTAGAAGAACATTAGCCCCGGGGCGCCCCGAAATGGATATCACCATTCCAATGCTTGCAAACATCAAGCTGTAACAAAAACATCATCAGGCGATAATTTGTATGCAAGATCCCTGGACAACTATTCTGCAATTCTCCTGCATGAAAGGACAGCTGAGGTAAGATTTGAGATGAAAACGCAACTTTTGAATTGAGATATTAGAACTTTATATGGACCAACTGCATATGACAGTAAACTGATCAATATTAATTACCATCTTAGTTTTTCCTATACTAATACATTATTCTGCACTTTGAAGAACTATCTGAAATCCAAAACACTCTATCCTCGTGTACATAGAAACTTCATGTCCACATATGATGTAACCATACCTAAACCCTAAACTGTTTTTTTGCTAACAAAATAGTGATAGATAACTTCAAAATAATTAACCTAACAAAAACTACTGAAAAAGGTACATGAAATGTGGGTTTTGAATAGTGGATAGAAGTCAATAAGTGAGCTGCAACTTGTGTATGTAGAACAATGAAAATTTTCTGACCACATCTGGAAAGAACAACTTCAGTAGAAAGTTCAAGCAATCAAACTTACTCCCCTGCACCTCCAAATCCAATATGCTCTTAGACTTACATAATTACATCGCTAATGCAATCGCAAAACGCTCAAAAGTGAACCCCAAAATTGAGCATGATATCTTAAGTTTTACATAAATATATTTGACATACCATTTACAAAAGTAGTTGAATTCAGTTTTATATACGTATATCCTTAGTTTTGTATTTGACACATAAAAGCAAACCCAATGCTTCAAATCACACCCTAAAGCTCACGCTTCTGAACATCAGACTTTAGAAAGCCAATATTCAATCAACCACAATGCTTTGAATTTCTTACTACTACATAAAATCTACAGCCCAATTTAAACGAAATTGATTCAACTTTGATAACCAAAAATAGAAACATCAAAATTATAAATTAAGAACGGGACTAACCAACGAACAACGAGGGATAAACGAAATGAGTGGAAATGACTTTGAATCTGAAGAATTCTTTAGCGCCGGAGAAGAGATGATTTATTTAATATTCTGCAGGCGACTGTCATACGAAAGTGAAAGCTCTTAAACCAAAATAAAATGCCAATGACTTATTTAAGCGTACATTCTCTTAGTATATAGTCCTACACATGTTTAAAAAAAGTATCACGACCGAGGGTAAAGGCAGAAGGCGAAAGAGTACCAAATACAGCAAACTACTGTTACTTCTGTTAATCCTACAATAGAAAATATGATTTATATAAGCATTCAAATATTAGTTTTCAGAACTGAATTAAGGATAAAATTTCTTTCTAGGCCTTTCATCACTGATCTACTTATTATTAATAGCCTTAAATTTATTGTGCTTCTCAATCAGATGAAAAAACCTGGCATCAACGGGAAAATTAAGCCAGATAGGACCATCTTGCTACCAAATTTGATGAGCTTATCCCAACGAACACAACCAACATCAGAATTATAAAGCCGCCATGACTCAAAACAATTTAATAGTAATCATATACACATAAAAATCAAATCTACACACAACATCTTCCATTCATGTATTTGAACTACATTCATCGGTGAAGAAAAAATATACAGCAAAAGTAATTGCTCAAACCTCAATCATGAAGATCGCTCAAACCTGAATTTAGCCCCTTGAGCTGCCGAAACATGTAGCTCAAAAATCAGAACTGCTTGCTTCTAAAAATCAAATTTGAGGAAGCCAATATTCAAAACAAAATAAAATTCAAATAAGGTAATCTGGACCTTTTCAGCTAGGATTTGAAAAGGATGGATGGAAAACAAGGAGACTTTAAAGACGGCGAAGAACCTGATGCTTAGAATTCGTCAAGTCCGAATCAACCGATTCATTGAATAGGTATTACAAACAAGGAAGAGGCTTTCTCCAGGACAAAACATACTTCTACGAATGCATACCGCCTCGGTTTCCTCAACTTGGACTTCATCCTCACTCATCTCTACTTCTAAGTTCTCCTCCTCCTCAGATTCACTTTCACCATTCTGTACAAACCCCAAAAGTTAAACTACAACTAACTTATCCACGTTAGGATTCGAGAACCAAAACAGATAAAACCTCTGCCACATACTTTCACAATAGTAAGAGCATTCAGAAGGAAAACGAAACAAAAAAATGCAGAAGTGGAGCCATGGAACATTCAGCAGATATCGTAATATCAGAACACAAACCCAGAGACCACACAACGACTTCAATCCTTGAAAGGAAACAGTACGATGAAGCAGAAAAAGAACTAACCTAAGTCAAAAATTTCGATGCCATGGTTGTTTCTTCACTGGCTTACAGATTCAAGTATGCACAGAAACTGCAATAAAGGGAAAAAAAAAATCAGAAAACCGGAACAAAACCGAAAACCAAAATCTCACGACAGATGCATAAGAACTTGGGCTCATTAAAAAAAAAAGGTAAACCTCGTTCACCAATTCAATCCCAATTAACAATTCAATTAAGCAAGCAAAGAAATAGCACATCGAAACAAACTTGATTTTAGGATTGAGAATCAAATCTCTGAAGGCGCAAAACAATTGGCTCCGAATCTTGTTCGAGTGTGCTTCTGGGTCGAAGATAGGAGCAAGTAGAATCAACTGGAAGATGAATTCAAGAGAAGAGAGTAAAAAAGAGTAGAGAGAAGCATCGATCATCAGCTTAAATTCGCAGAGGTTGAGAACAATGGGGGGAGGGATTTTTGCCTTATGTAGGAGTTTCAGTTTGGGAAGAAAGACGGAGAAAAGGACATCGTTATTACTTCTTATTTTTATTTTTGATAGCTGGTTTTTTTTTTTTTCCAAATTCAGATTTCCTATTAATTATTAGTGGAAAACTGAAATTATGAATTCTTGTTTTTACCCTTAATAAGTTGATGATGTCATATCAACCCCATCAGACGGACGAGATCACTTTGACGGTAGTTTTTAATATTTTTTGGGCATTATTTCTTGCCTACTGTGCCTTTTATTTAAGTATAAGGATGAGAAAACTTCTGAAGTGCCTTTGGCTATTCTATGCAGAGGTTATATTTGTTGGACCGATTTTTGACAAATCCGGTCCACATGAGAATGGGCCGACCACAGCACTTTAATGGAGGAAAAATTGGTTTGAAGCCCGCCTTGGTTAAAATTCGTGGATGCAACAGAGAGCGAGGAAGCCGAATCCAAAAAGGAGTCAATGACGCCGCAGTCCATATCGAAGAAGGATTCCAGTTGCAACATGAATACTTGCGGAATTCAACTTCTGTTGCAACAGGAATCCTTGCGGAATTCGACTTCTGTTGCAACCTAGCTAGGTTGGCGGAATCAGTATAAAAGCTATGAAGGAGGCATCGAAAAGGACACAACTCATTATCCAAGAACCAGAAATCATATTTTTCTTTATAACTTTGTTCTTTGCAATTTTACGCTTTTATGTATTCGTTTATGTTTCAGCTTTAAACGTTGTAATCATTTCAGCAATTCAGGCTATTCAAAGCCGATTCGTTTTCATTCAATCAATAAAACAGGCTCTTGCAAGCCGTTTTATCCATTCCTTAGAATTTCTCATTATTCGGTTGAGTGCCAATTCAAAGGCATCATCCTGTTTAGGATAATTTCAGCATTTGGTTTATGCACTTTGAGAATATCACGCAGTTGCTTGAAATTAGTTTGAGCCGAATTGGTTTCCACTATAAAATAAAATTTTGACTCAAACATAAAATTTGGCACGCCCAGTGGGACCGCTTTGCATGTTCCAGGCGTTGTTTAAGCAGAAAAACGATGGCATTACCTCAGTCATCAGCAAAAGCACATTCGGCAGGACAGGGCTCTATACTGAATCAGACTTCTGTATCAGGTGGGAGTTCCTTGCCGATGAATACGCTTCCGAACATTTCGGCGGGGGATTCCTATTCAACAGTAATAACATATCAGTCCACTGGGATAGGGCGACAATCTAGCTAGCAACAGTCCATTGTGGGATCAAGTCTATTCCAGTGATAACCCCTGAGATGTTGCATCAACGATTTTCAGAAATAGAGCATGTTGTAGCCACACAAGTGGAGCGTTTTTAAAATGCTTTTCAGAGGCTACTGACCATAATGCAAACACAGGAAGTTGCTGGACCTAGTAGATCTATGATGTCAGAAGTTAATACGGCTACAAGAGCAGCAAGTTCAGAGGTGCCACCAGTCAGTATGGTTAATAATCCTTTATATCATGCCATATTCCAGACATCTGCAACAGATACTCCGGTGCAGAATCTCGGAGCAGGACCAAGTAACAATGGATCTCACAACGCAGCATTACAAGGAATACAAAGTTGGTATTACCCAGTTGTTCCGAGTCAGCCAGCTTTTGTGTCACCACCAGGGAATTTTACCTTTGATGGACGGCAGTTGCCTCCATTGTCCCCTCAATATGGAACACCAGTGATGATGCTTGGAACGTCATGGGGACAACAATCACCCTATCAAGGATTCTAGGCGTCGTGGCCGGTGACTCGGGGAATGCAATAGGTGAAAAATGCAACAAATAATACTGTTGCAAGGAATGCGCAAGAGACGAATCAATTCCAGTTGCAAAATGCTACATTTCCACAGCAAGTTTTACCAATGCAATATCAACAAGGATCAGCAGTGGTTCTATCGCAACTGAGTGGACAAGAAGGTGTGCCTAGACTAACATACATACCACAAGGAACAGCAAATGTAGGTGTCCAAGGAACTGTGGGTGTAACAATTAATCAAGGCCCTGTTGGTACGGGAAACAATCAAGGTGCTGTTGGTGAAAATGCAAGGCATGCTGGTCAACACGCACAAGCGACCAATGACCGCCGCTCTATATTATATCAGAACTGAGTACCAGGAAATAATACTGCAGCTGCAAATTTGGATGATCCACACATACCTCAAGGCTCTGGTGTTGTGGTTGCTGATCCACAAATTGTTGCACCTCATCAGACATTGGAAAAGAATAGAGAGGAACAACAGTGGATGGAATACGAAGCAAATTAGATTCTGAACCGAAATAGGGCGCAAGCTATTGGAAGACATATCAGAAATCAGAATTTGGAAATAGACACAACCCACGTCACCAGCGTTTATGGGGCTAAGGAGGTGGTCGTCATCGGGTTGATCTTGGTAACGAAGTTCGACAAGAACTAGGCGCAGCAGCGAACGATAATCAGCAACAGAATTTTGAGACGGGTGTTGATAAGACTTTACACGCCGAGGATGCATTTTCAAGAATGATAGAAGATAAGATCCGTAAAGAGCTAGGCACAAAAATTCCAGAGATTCCAGGAAAGCCATATCCTGACTATGTTGAATGGGAGCCATTGCCAAAAAACTTTAAGATTCCCGATTTTCAGCAATTTTCAAGAGAGGATGAGAAGAGACCTGAAAACCATATAAGTCTATTTGAATTGCAGTGCGGGTCAGTAAGCAACAATGCTTTAATCAAGTTGCGTTTGTTCCCCTATTCTCTAAAAGGGACCGCTTTTGACTGGTATCGATCATTAGCACCCGGTTCTATTCCGTCATGGGAAATGCAGCAGCGAGAGTTCTTGTCCTACTTTCGTAGGGATACCACACGATTGTCAATCGTTGATCTCTTAGAAATTCGACAGAAGTTTGGAGAAGCTGCAGAAACTTATTTGATACTGATGAGAATCATTTAGCCTTCCATGGTGATTATCCTAGTGAGGGGAATGAGCTAGTCCTTCATTCTAGTTTTGGAATGCCAAGTTTACTTTGCAGGCCAATCAAGGAAGAAAGGATGGATCCTGACTATCTATGTGATAGGGAGTTGGTTCAAGAGAGCTATGATCAAGATGATGAGAATGTCATTAACTTTGGGGTTCAAACCAAAGTAGATGATTCACTCATGGAAATAAGTGCTCAAGAGTATCAAAGGAGTTTGACTCTAGGTGCTCCATGAAAATCATTGATCAAGTTAGAGAGAAGAATCATTTAGGTTCTTGAATGGACGGCCTATTTGATCAAAGTGTTCAAGATTGAGTCCATTGCTACACAATTGGATAGGTTGCAAATTATCTCAATTGTTCCAAGTGTTTTTCCAATCTTTTGGAGTCAATAAAGAGAATTCTATAAGTTTTGGAGTAAATTGGAATTTTCTACAACTTGGGTGGCGCAAGACCAATATTCCACTTTTGGGAGGGCGTTCAAGACATTTTACTTCAATATTTGGAGCTGATTTTCGAGAATTAGAGTATTATCTAGTCTAGGAGTTATTTTCCAAATTTATCTAGTTAAGATAAGTCATGTGGACTGAATTAAGCTAGAGTGTTTTGATTAGGAGTCTTAGATTCCTTCTTAGGAGTCTTAAATGATTAGGAGTCATTTAGATAAGGTTTCCTAGATTTTAGATAGAGTCAAAGAGATCAAATACTCTTCTACTTCTACTCCTGCGTGAGATAAGAATAGAGAGTCCTAGTTGGTCTTCTTTTTGGTGCTTGGCTGAAATTCATAGCCTATAAATAGGGGGTATGGCCGAAAGTTAAAGCACCCATGTGTGGTCATTTTGAGTCTTCTCGAATGAGAGTTTTTCCTGTGAGGAATTTTTATTAAATGGTGTGTCCATTTTTCATTTGTCAAGTATGATTTAACCAAGAGGGTTTTCATCTTTTCTTGGATCTTTTGATCTTGCAAAAACCGTTTTTTTCAAGTATGCTTCTTGATAGAATTGTTTTAAAACTAAACTTCTTATTCTCATACTACTTCTAGTAGTTCGAGAGTTGAACCTTTCTTTTGGCTATGGTTTTCGAGTTCATGATGTGTGTGTTCATGAGTTCCATTGTGGGGTTTGTCCTACTTTTGTTGGATGAGTTGTGCTTTGGCATAAGCATTTTGAGATAGTGTATGTGTTGCATATCTTTGTTAGTTATGGAGATTACTAATCAATAGTATTCCTTCATAGTTGAGCATTGTTTGCTCCTACCTTTCTTGAGTCTCTTGAGTGATGACTGATCGAGTATATTGAATGATGTCTATACTATTCTTAGTGTGGGTTGTTGTTTAATTCGAATCTTTCATGGATAATGTGTTCTTTGCTTGGTTTGAGTTAAGAGATAAAAATCCTTAGATAAACGATCGTCTTACTGTGAATTTTTTGCCTCTTTTGAGTTTCACGGGATAGACAAATTATCTTCGTACTTTCTTGCTTGATGGTTGCATTAACGAAATTTGCTTCATCTATGAGATTGCTATCAAATACGCTTTCGTCAAATGTATGCTAAGATCCCAGATAACTATGACGAGCCAACTATTGTTAAGATGGCAATTGCCGGAATTCAGGATTACAAAGTCAAGTTAGCTGTCGCACCACATTCTGTTTGATCCTTGAATCATTTGGCAGATATTGTAAGAAGATGTGAGAAAGTCATTAAAGATAAAAGGGAGAAGAACCCGGGAAAGACAAAGCAATGGTTCAACAAAGCTCCAGTAGCAGAAGTGAATCAAAGTCAATGGGTTCATGATAAGGACGACGATGAATATGAGGTTAATGCTGCTGAAATCGCCAATGTCCGTAACTACACGTGTGATGCATTACGTCGCCCTACAGTTCCACATTTTTATAATACTCCCCCACCGGTAGGTGCACCAGCAGGCATCCTAGGGCAAGCTGACGGAGCTAACGTTGGTAGAGTATATTCTTTCGACATATCGCAACAAGAGGCCATCTTTGATGACATGTTCCAGAAAGGCTATATGCAATACAGAAAGGGATGTAGACAACCAAAGCGAGCAAATCTAGTTGGAAAGACGTATTGTAAATACCACATGTCATGGACTCACGCCATAAACGACTGTGTGGTGTTTCAGATAAACTTCAAAAGATGATTGTGGTGGCAATGTGGTAGTAGAAGATCCAGTTGAAATGAATGTCAATCCTTTCCCGTCACAGCACCAGGTCCGAATGGTGAATGTAGGATTTGGAAGTCATTCCTGTTACACATGTTTGGTCATTGGTTGTGAAGATTGTGACAAAGTATATAATAAGGCCAAGTAACAGCTGAAAGAGCTAGGATCTAAGTTCGGAGGCCATTTGCATCGACAGAATGCACGGTCATCTGCAACAGAAGTGAATATAGTGATAAATGGACAGACGCAGACATGGGTACAAAAGGAAGCACGTTTAGATCCAGAGCAAGAGAAACTAAGAGCTGTGTCAGATGCAATCTTGAATGCTTTGAACCAAAATTAGCAACAGAGTTTACAACATCAAGGTTTGCATACAGAAGTTCTTCCGACGCAACAATGAGTGCCTGTCCATACAAGATTGGGGAATACCATTGTCAGCCCTAGGGCTAACTTGATATATCAAGTTCATTATAGAAGACCATCAGTGTGGCAACGGATTCAGTGTCCCAGCTAAAGGGACTATACCGAGCCCAGGTCAGTCAGAGTAGCACCCGTGAATGATAGAGAATGGCATCGCGTTGTTCATCCCAAGTTCCCTACTCCACCATTAAGGAAAGAAAAGATGACCAGGACGCAGAAACGACGATGGCAGAGGGTTATGAATAAACAAAATAGGGATGCAACGGGAAAATTAGGCACGGTTCAAGAGGAACAATCACCACTTTCCCAGCAAACGTCAATGAATAAGTTTTCAGGGCAGGAAGATAGACGGTCACAATTGTGGGGAAAAGTGGATACGTTCTTCCCACCAGTAAACATGGTTTATATGTTACCAAAAAATTTTCGTTTGAAAGAACTTGCAACTGCAACAACTATCATCCCCAAAGCTGTTGTAGACACATTGGCTGTTCATGAAGCGACTTCATTCGTAACAGAACCACATGACGCTACAGTTGGTGGTATTCAGCTACTATCTCAAGAAGGGAAAGGCCCGGTCATAATGCTCTCTCAGCCAGCTGAGAGCTCTGGGACTCACATTCGGCCATTATATATTTGCGCCATCATGGATGGAGTACCATTGAGACGAGTGTTAGTGGACAATGGTGCAGCAATTAATATCTTGCCTACAAGAGTTTTACAGAGATTAGGCAAGAAACTCAAGGATTTAGTGCCAACTGAAGTTTTGTCAGTGGATTTACAGGAGATGTTACAACCACTAAAGAAATCTTACCATTGCAAGTGGATGTAGGATCACAAGTAGTGATATCGGCATTCTTTGTAGTGGTGGTATCCATTCAGCAAGATGTATTCCTTCTTCATTACATCAAGTGATTATTATATGGGGAACAGATGGACCAGAAATCATAGCTGCCGATGCAAGTCCATTTGCAGCTTAAGCTAATGCTGAAGAGGCTTATTATTACGACAGTGAAGTAGGTCCATACCGTCTTGTTGGGGTGGATAAGTATGGTCGGCCACAACAGGGCACTATGCGCCGTGATATGAATCTTCCAAAGTGAAAAATTGCTTTTACAAGAAGTCAACAGGCCATACAATTACAACGTGTTAAGGCCGTTGCCAGCTGCTCCATCTATTGAAGAAGTATCTAATGAAGACAATTAAACAGTTAACTGTTATGGATACGATGGAGTTAGATCAAGAATTGTTGCAGGTAAAGGAAAAACAAGCCGCCATCAAGCGTGTGTTGCAGTATTTTGAGAATGAGCATCAACATCAAATTGAAATACCTACGGTATGTTGGGATGAAGTAATTTATGATGCACATCCAGTTTCAGATAGTGACATCATTGATTTGAATGAATTGGCTACTGCAACCCCAAAGTTAAGTGATGAGGCAGTTGTTACCAAAGAACCAGTTGAAGCAGTAAATTTAGGATCATCTGGCGAGGAGAAGCCCACTTATATCAATTCTTCCTTATCCGCCAATGACAAGAAGTCACTAGTTGATCTTTTGA